AAAAAAAAAAAAAAAAGAGTGAGACCCCATTTCTGATGGCAGGCACTGTTACCCTAAATAACCATCACATACAGGATAGTGCTGGACAGGCCCTGGTGAGGCCAAATGAGCCTACGTACCAACATCTGGAAATTGTTTATTCACTTCCAAGGCCTTCAGTTGTGGATAAGTTTGGAGACTGGACTCCATGGCACTCGTCAAGAACCCAGGCCACTCTGCGCATCCAGTGAAGTGTTGATTAACTATAGATTTAGTCTACAGTAAAAATGCTTTGAAGATATAACCACTTTAAGATAGGGGATGAGTAATAACATTGCTGATATTCTTCCTATGAGAGTACAAAAGTAACAAAAAGAAACAGGAGAACAGAATCCAGAATTGCTGGACCTTCTATAAATAAAAGTAAAACTTTTATCTCTCATCCACTTTTCCAGTGACTGGTTTGGATGGCAGGTGGTTTGGATGGCTCCTTGGTCTGGTGACATCTCTACTAAAAATAAGCAAATGTCCAATGTACTCATTAGTATGTAGCCAGTAGACAATCTAAGACACACCCACATAGGAGAAAAACTCAATTCCATACAAGTTGGGGGAAGGGGGTCCTAAGGAGGGGAAAGAGTGGAGGAGGGGTGGGGATTGGTGTGCTCCCACTGAATGGGCACAATGTAAGGGCGGATGGCACACTTTCTGGGTGTAGGACACAAACAAGAGAGATTCCACCTAACAAATGCAAATATCGTGACCTAGTTGTTTGTACCTTCACGTTAACCTGAAATTTAAAAAAAAAAAATAGAAAGAAAAATTAGCTGGGTGTGGTGGTGGGCACCCATAGTCTCAGCTACTCGGGAGACTGAGGCAGAAGGATCACGTGAGCCCAGGAGTCTGAGGTTGCTGTGAGTGACACCGATGCCATCGCACTCTAGCCTGGGCAACAGTGAGACTCTGCTTCAAAAGGAAAGAAGAAAATCTGGCTGGTGATGGAAGGATGGCCCCTGGCCAGGGATGAAGTAACCGTGCAGAGACTGCCACTTGATGTTCCTAGGTGGCCTTTCTTGGATCACTATCTGAGTCTGTTTGATGCTGCTACAACAAAACACCACAGGCTGGGACATCTGTAAACAACAGATACTAACTTCCCACAGCTCTGAAGGCTTGAAGCCCAACGTGAAGGCACCACAGCAGGTGCCTGGTGAAGGCCATGTCCTCACTTGGTAGAAGGACAAAGGGTCAGCTCCATCCTCAGACCCCTTTACCAGGGCACCTCATCTCACTAAGGAGGGAGGAGCCCTTACGGCCTTATCACCTCTTAAAGGCCCCACCTCTCAACACTGTCAACCCGAATTTTGGAAGGGACAGATTCAAACCTCAGCCATCACCAGCAACTGCTGTTATACTCCCAGCCTGCACATTCCTTAGGTGGCCACTCAGGCCACAGAGGAAAGGAGTCATTTTCTTCTGAATAAATCCTAGCTAATTTCAATCCTACGGTATCATGCTCCTGTAAATGAGATAAAAATAAATTATGTCTGCAGTGTGTTTTAGAAAATGATTATCTACATAATGCTTTTTACAAAATTCAAATCATAGTGAACACATTCATGTGGACTAGACTGCCACACCAGAACTATTGTTTTTTAATTTTTTTTAAATTTCAAATTAATATGAGGTACAAATGTTTAGGTTACACTGTTTTCAGTTCCCAGGTAAAGTTCAAGTTGTGGGTGAGCCCTTCACTCAGGGGGGTGCTGAACACCCTCACACTGTGCACATTCGGTGAGATCCCAGCAGTCTCCCCCCCTCCTCCCTTTCCCCTGTCCCCTCGCTAGACTATATTTACCTTTTTTCTTTCACAGGAGCATGTAGTTGTTTATATGGTTTTCCTACTAGTATTGAATACATTGGATCCTTTTTTTCATTCTTGAGATACTTTACTAAGAAGAATGTGTTTCACCTCCATCCAGGTAAACACAAAAGATGCGAAGTCTTCATCTTTTTATGGCTGAATAGTACTCCATGGTAAATTATTTTCAAATTAGATGAAAAATGTGCCTCCATTGGTGCATCTCTAAGTGCAGTGAGATTGCCCACTTGTATTACTTTGTGAATCAACTGTTCATGTGTCCTGTCCACTCTTCCATGGCCTTTTCCCCATTAATTTGTAAACGCTCTCTCCTGAAACGGCCGTTTCCTGTATAGCTGCTATATATATTTTTCTTGTTATTTGTCTTTGATGCTTTTGAAAATTATGGATACATACCTTTTATGTTTTTGCTATAAAAAATGTTTGTGCAATGGATTTTCTTTTCTAGATCCTCCCTTTATGTTTATTTTTTTTTTTTTTTAGAGAGTCTTACTTTGTCGCCCTTGGTAGAGTGCTGTGGCACCATAGCTCACAGCCACCTCTACCTCTTAGGCGTAGGTGATTCTCTTGCCTCA